CATAGAGGGGTTATACGACGCTATCAAAACGCGGAAGGTCACCTCATATACATCGGCCCACGGCCTAAGAGTGGCCAGAGAATTTTACAAAGATCTCTTTGCCTCCAATCGGGCGAGAGATCTTGAACCAACAAAGGAGGGGGATATTGACAAATTTCTAGCCCCCCCCACTAAACGGATATCACACGAACAACGAGAAGCCCTGGAAAGACCACTACGAAAAGAGGAAATCTGAAACGCCCTTCTGCAGATGGAGGAAGGCAAAACCCCAGGGATAGATGAACCGCCTAAAGAATTTTGGGAAGAAATGTGGTCCCCCATGTCGGAGGAGCTCATGTAATACTACAGGCAGGTGAAAGCTTCGGGAAAAATGGGGGAATTTGCAGGCCAAGGCATTCTTACCCTGTTGTACAAAAAGGAGATAAAACAAAGATAAAAAACTACCGACCTATCACCCTCCTCACAGTGGTATACAAGCTTGTGGGCAAGGCGCTGGCCAACAGGATGATACCTGTACTGGAGGAGATAATCCACCCCGCACAAATGGGGTTCATGCGCAACAGGAATATTCATGATAATGTGCTTCTGGTCAATGAACTGATCAAACCAGCAAGACAATCCAAGCAAAACGCAACAATAGTGTTTATAGATTTTGAAAAAGCCTACGACCACATGGATATTAATGTGGCGCTGGTGGGATCGCATTTGGTCCCGACTGGGCACTGAGGAGAAATGGCCATGGAAATGAGAACCCATCTTACTAGGAGAATGGGGAAAGCCGCTAGGCCCCGACCACACCAACAATCTATTCGTCACGGCTAGGAAGGCGATGATTTGGATGTTATGGACAAAAAGATGTGTTTTCGACCAGGAAGGGGCCAGGTTGGGGGAAGGGGAAGCGGCGGAAATTGTCAGACAATTCATAGAAACAAAATTAAGAGTGCAATGCAAAAAAGTGCAGGAAAAGATAATGCATTTGACATAGAAAGTAGACAATACAAAAGATATCAAAAACTTCTGCGCGAACTGGCTGGGAGGGGAAAGGGGAGGCAGGATGGCACACATCGCTTGTCTGGGGGAAGGAGGGAACGCAGGGGGAGGCTTCGAGTTCACAAAGGACAGCAAACTTGTTTTCCACGAATGGCTTCAGGTCAATCTTGACATTCCGATGAGGAGTCCAGGAGAATTTCCAGATATGTTCCCCCTGGCAACCACAACAATTGTTGATATGAAATGGTTTGGGCAGGAGTAAGAAAAGAGTTGTATTGTATCTGGCCTAAATGGCACTAGATTTTTTAGGCTAATCAGGCGCCCCCTACAGGGTTGAAGAGGTACCCTTAGGCAGCAACAACATAGTGGAGTAGTCTCCCAAGAACGCCAACTCAGTTAATCCCCTGGGTAATCGATGCTGGCAGGCAGCAGTCCTCTCATACATGGCAGTCATAACCTAAAAAAACAGATCAGGCAAAATGGGGGGAGGGAGGTACTAGTGTCCAGAAGTAGATATCTGGCCCCTGATACAGGGCAAAGAGGTATTCTCCTTTCCTCTCAACAACCTGCACAGTTTATCCTCTGGAAGATAGAGTAATCTATGGTGGCAGGTTTTTCCTCAGTCTACAGTCCTGATATCTTCTTGATCTATTATGTAATCACTTTGTATAAGGGACACTGGACCCGTTTTCAAGCACGTGATGCTCCCCACCAATAGATGGAGCCTTTCCCCAGGTGCTAGTGGTGTCTGCTTTCACCAATGCC